TTCCCTTCCCTTCCCTTCCCTTCCCTTCCCTTCCCTTCCCTTCCCTTCCCCAACCAACAATTGAACAACTTCAGAGACCTGCCCATGGGGACAGAAGGGGGAATTGTGGGTTTTCTTTGGGAGGGTTACCCTTCAGAAGCACACATAAGAAATAAATAAAACAGAAATTTTTCAAAAAGGGAGAGGGGAAGGTGGCTGAGGGATAGAAATAGGAAAGGAGGAAAGATCTGATGGTGGCAGAACCTGGCAGCGTCCATCCTCTGGGCTTGTCCCTGCCTGCTGATAGAGCTGTGGGGATGGGGCACAGCATGGTTTCCTATCACACAGCACAGCTTGGCTTAGACAGCTTCTGGGATAGATGAGGGGAGCTTGGTGTTCTCAGGAAATTCCTTTGGTTTCCACCAAAAAAAGGAATAATATCTGTGTGCACATTTATAAAATTATTTTATGCATATACTATAAATATAAATATAAATATAAATATAAATATAAATATAAATATAAATATAAATAGAAATAGAAATAGAAATAGAAATAGAAATAGAAATAGAAATAGAAATAGAAATAGAAATAGAAATAAGAGGTGGGTGCACACCTCAGGTTTTCACTTGTGCATCCCCTTGCTGATCACTGGGTCACAGCTGTGGTGTGGAGAAGGCAGGTGCTGTTCCATGTCTCACAGGAAAGCAACAACCCCTCCCTTCCCAGTGCTTTCCAGTTCCCATGGGAGAGGACCCTGCTGCCTCTGCCACAGATTTGAAGCCAAAACGCCAAGCACTGGTATTCAACTCTAAATTGTAGGGTTTCTTTTTTCCCCACTCTCCCATCCTACCAGATGCCCCACCTGACAAGTCCAACCCAGACAGTTCCCTCATGCCTCTTCTCCAGCTACATGGGGCCAGGGAAGAGGTGGGGGTGGGCTTGTGTTTTGATTAATATGGAAATAAAATGCAGAAATAGCAGCAGTACTTAGCTTCATTGCTTCAGTTTAGAGATTTATTAGTGAGGAGATAAACACTAGGCTGGGGGCCTTGCTCAGTAATTCACAGTTCCCATCAGTTATTACCAAATGAGCAAATAGTTCCTCTTTGAAGTCACAGATGGGGGAGGAGGGGGAAATGGGGGAAAAAAAAAAGAGTAATATTTTTTAATAGATTGCTTCTCCTTTCCTCTAGTCTGGACCTCATTTGCCTGCCCAGCTGCCCTGATTGGGCCCCTACTCTCCAAGCAAAACTTGGGAGTTTATTAAGGAGTTTATTAAGGATGTGTCTCTTAAAATGCTTGTGTCTTCCTCTGCCTCCCTCCTACTTTATTTTGTATTTTCCTACTTGCTCCTGTCTAACTTCCTTAATTTTGTATTTTCTGTTCTCTGAAGCCCCACTTTCCCTCCTGCAGAAGCAGGCAGGCATGGATTTGAGCTGGAAAGTGCTGTCACAAGATGACATCACGCTGCTGCCAGGGAAAACAAAAGAGCAATATTGAGAGGCAGAAATGGGTACTTCGGGGGCACAAAAACCCCTTCTCAGGTCTGAAACAGAAGCAGCTAACTAGTAGCTAAGTAGAAGATAAATACTAAAATGTAAGCAGATATTTTTCACCAAAGTTCTGTGAAATTTAAGGATTTGAGTTTGTTGCTTTGCTTTCAGTGTATTATAGATACCATGAGACAACCACACTAAAATTGACCCAGAACCTGCTGAACATTCATATTTTCCTGGACCAGTAGGACAAGTCAGGTGAGACATCCTAGGGCATCTCAGAGGCAGTAAATACCTATCTTTAAGTGGCTGATTGAACCTTACAATCATAGAATAGTTGGAAAAATAAGTTGTTACAGACCTTTAGCACCGAGTCCAATCATAATTCTAACAGTGCCAAGTTCACCACTAAACCATGTCCCTACATCCCACCTTAATGTATTATGAATAGGGAAACAGAGTAAGAGCAAAATGTCTCAA